ATCTGTTCAACTTGGAACGATACAGAGAAGATTAGCATGGCCCCTGGACATCTGTTCAACTTGGAACGATACAGAGAAGATTAGCATGGCCCCTGCGCAAGGATGACATGCATAAATCGAGAACTGGTCCAAATTAAAAAAAAAAAAGAAAAAAAAAAAAAGATTATCAAATAGGCCTTTTTCTTTTCTTCCAAAGGCATTTCAAAGTGGCCCCTCCCTCGGGACTGTCACCGCCCGAAACTCAAAGCCTCAGTAGGGTCTTGTGAAAATGGGCCCTCACCATCATGACCATTTGTCAGGGTTGCTGCCCTGAGAACAGTCATTTTTGTCGGGGTGTGCCCGCCTGTCACGGGGGCAGTACAATGACAGAATTTGAAAGGACGAATGTTTCGAAAGTCTGTGGGCATCGCCACACCACTCTCGAAACCTGAAAAATGAGAATGAACTTACGTCTAGAACATATCCACATTTTTGTCCTTCTCACATTTGGTGAGTGGTGTGGCGAAGGGGGGTGTTCTTTCGAACAGCGGGCTTTCAATTTTTTTTATTTAGTTTTTTTTATTTCCTGTTTTTACATATAAAAGTAACCTATATTCTTCTTCTTCTTTTTTTTTTTTTTTTTTTTATTTAGGAACAAGGCTCCAATCTATCCGTGGGGAGCAGCACGTGCTGGGAACCGGGCCCAGCGTCCCATATAGAAATTTACATAGAAATTTCAGAGTTTGAGATACCAGGACCGTTACCCGGCTTTGGCTAAGAAAAAATTGGGGTACTTAGCAAATCACTAGGACGAACCTCACAATAGGTAAAATTCAGAAATGACTCAGAACCCCCCCATCAATCCTCTTTACTTCACTCCGGCAAGACTTACTGCAGCAGAGCCACCATCTCCACTGCTGCTGTACCCTATTTCCATCCTCTGAGCTAGCCCCCTCACTAGTAGGATGCTTGATATCCAAACCGTCTACTTCTCCCTCACACCTCCTTTTTGAGACCAATTTAAGAAGACCTACCCCTGCCAGCATTGATTGCCCCAGAAATCAGGGGATTAACCGAGCAGGGACAACCTTTGATGATAGGTCAAAATTAGAAAATATGAAGACATGCAGCCCCTGGAATAGTCAACCCAAAAGATCCTGCCTCCGTCATCGAAAGGAAGAACCTCAAGTTGTTCCAGGTGGATTTAGTAGCCAGTGGCTGGTACCCGCCAAGATACTTGGCGCCAATTGCATCCACCCGACTCCCTCCATCCCAGTCCCATCCGTCCTTCCTAACTCCGTCATCGTAAGGAGTTTCAGAGGACCGCTTCTCAGCAGGGGATGAGCACCATCATCACCCCGAAGTTCCTTGCCCCCACAAGAACTCCAGTCTCCGTCCTCAAAGGGGTAAACAAGCACTACCCAACGCCAATCACGCCAGAGCTCGCCCTCATTAGCCAGTACCCATTGGACAGTCTAAACTACCCAACGCCAATCGCATCTGATAAGAGTTTCCCCTAGCCGGTACCCGTCAAGCAACCCTATTCCATCCCCCTCTGCGTCCTTGCAAAGAATCATCTCATGCCCCTTCCCCTACTTCAAAACAATTCCCCCGAAACCCTACAAGATACTTCACTTGACTATCTCTGACAAGAATAGGACAAATTCAGGAAAACAGGCAGCCCCAGAAACAGACAATCCGAATAATCCTGCCTCCATCATCGAAAGGAAGAACCTCATTCGTTCTCCCACTATGAAACTCCCCCGGAGGCGGCCATGCGCGGCCGCGGCCGACGCCTCAACCCCGCGGCCATGTCCCCGCGGCCCGCACGGCCGCGCAACTTCGCGGCCACGTGGCGGCCAGGGGAGGGGGGCGCGGGGGTTTGGGAGGTGGATTGGGGTTGCGCAACCCCAGCCCCGTCCCCTCAGACAAAAAGAAAGGAAAAAAAACTATTTTCTGGGGGGATGAATTTGGTGATGAAAGATTATAAGAAAAAAAAAATCAAAGAAAAACTACTTTTTCTTTTTTTTCCAATGATTGATTGATTGATTGATTCGTGGGGGAGGGGTCGCCCACCCCCCACCCCAACCCCCACGCGCACACACACACACACACACACACACACACACACACACACACAAGTGTGGCAGTGTATATTTTCATGTTCTCGCGGAAGATTCATTCGATTTTGGCCATCCTATCGATGGAAGTAGCGTGACGGGCGCCGCGGGGTTGGAGACTTACCTGTTGGCCGGTGAGTTGTTCATCCTATTCGATCTAAGACTCTCTCTCTCTCTCTCTCTCTCTCTCTCTCTCTCTCTCTCTCTCTCTCACACACACAC